GCTATACATTAACCAACCCACGGTGATACCCAGCCGATAGTGCTCCTTCAGTTGGAGGCAAAATCTAATTTTTGGATTTTGCAGCTGCAGCTGTCATCGTGTTCCCTGTCAAAATGTGAAACAGTATCATAAATTGCGACCCGAATGAATACTGCAGCAGACAAAAAAATATTACGTAACAGCAAGGAGCCTTGAGCTTCAGAACTTTAAAACGTAGAGGAGGCGACCCAAGTAAAGACTTTTTGGTACAACCGCTCACAGGCCTTCGAACTAGATGTAAAATGTCAAAGGACGGTTATATCAGCGGGGATGAGGCAGGTTCGCACTGACTCGACGTATGTAGACTGCATGATCCCACTGCGAAATCGGCCGTCGTTACGATGCAACTCTTATAGCTAAACTCGACAGTCCTCATGCTCGACCCTCGAAATGAAATATTCCTGCTAAAACGGGTATATTCGCACTCCAATGAAAAATGGCAATACCTGCGATATTCATCAGGGTTAACCGGGGTCTCAATAATGATCTTTAAGTGCACCTCAGTGGTCGACTCAATACGTCTGTGACTTGCATGATAAACAATCAACATATTCCGTCATTGTTAAGTGTGAGCGGCTACTTATTTGCAATGAGTGCTCAGAACGGGGGTAACGTCCACATTTGAGCCTGCCCGACTGATCTGCATTGCTGACTACGAGTAAGCCCAAGAATGAGCCTTTTGCCTTCAGCACTTTCGAATAATCGGTCAAACTCTCATTAAGCATAAATATTTTAAAAAAACATGCGAGAAAACGAATGCTTTGAAAAAGCTTCAATATGGACTGCAGCCAGAGAGGTTTAAAAATTATATACAAAGAACTGAGTGACTAGACAGTCTCATCGCGGCTTCTTCGAGCTGCCAAAACCACCGAATCCCATAATCGCGGCAACATCTTCATCTTCCTCGTAAGGGTCCCCCTCTGTTTTGCGCTTCCTCTCTTTCTTCTTCTCCTTCCTGTACGCCTTCATTTTCTCCTCCTCCTCAGCAATCTGTTTCACTCTATCTTCAAAGTTGTATTCTTTTGCCTTTGTCTCTTTCATCTTCTTGTGCATGGAAAATCTAAAAGAACTTGGCCTATCCGTGAACCCAATCCTAACCTGCTCTTAACTTCGTCCAGGCTTGAACGTTTGATTCGCATTGACATGCCCAAATTCCGCTGATGTTTTTTGCCATTTACGTGATCCAAAAAGTTTATGGAATCCTTGACGACGCAGTCGCAGTATTCGCAATAGTAACCAGCCTGTGAGCTGCCTGGGCCGGTTTTAGCAATCACCTGAGACTTGTTAAGATTGGCTTCAAGCGGTATCTAGACTGGTATTAACTGACAAAAAAGAAGTAAACATTACAATCTCCGTACGAGGTCGCAGGAGTTGCTTCTTAACCGTATCCTTTTCTTTGCGCGCATTGCGCAGAGCTTCTAACTCCTCACTTGACCGCTGGTCAGCGATCTTCTCGAAGTAAGCTCTGTCCCATTTTCTTCGGTGATCGTTCTGCCAAACACTTCGGAGCATAAAGGATATCTTACCGCAGCACACATGTTACTTCATCCAGTACCAAACGGCTAAAAAGGGAAAACAAAGGGAAGGATAAGTAGTCAGCAAAAGTTACGGACGAAGCCGCCAGTTTTGGGGTACTCAAGATTGAAACTGGCCTAGTAAAATCAGCAAAAAAGCTGAAAACTAGCGGTTGGCCTAGCATCAAAGGGAGGGTAATGGAGAGAAGACATGATGAGTAGAGAACCTAGTGCTCT